GGTAACGTGACATACAAGAAATATTCAGGTGAGTTAAAAATCAATAGCTACATGAACATTTTTAAATTCTTCCATTGCATCCCAGATGGTAGGGAGATCTGGAGGCTTCACCCTGGCTCATGGGCTGCAATCCACCTGGGGACTGTGCCACATAGAGGAAACGTGACTTTACGTTGCTAGCACCCTGGCTCCATCCTCTCTGAGTGTCTCTCTGGAACACCCTGCCACCACCTTTCCTGCTAAGGGCTCTTGAAGTGCTTGGAGGCCAGGACGGGGGCTGTGGGGAGGGACAGAAAGTCATGCACCAGATATGAGGTAGTGGAGCTGCAGAGGGTCCACAGGTGGTTCAGAGTGTGCCTGTCACTGTTTAGCTGTGTGTGTTTGGATGAGTATGTGCAGTTTTCTGACTTAAAACCTCCTTACATATTTGTGTGATTTGTTGATATTATAAAGTCTTATGTCTTTGGGTATAAGTGTGTTTCTGTGAGTGTGTCTATAAAATTATAAGTATGTGTGAGAGATAGTGTATGTGTGTGTGTGTGTGTGTGTATGCATGCCCTTGCACGTCTCTGAATGTGTTTCTGGGTTTGTATATGTTGTTGCATGTGTACATTTGTTTGTGGGAGTACCTGTCCACATACATGAATATCTCTGTGTATGTGTGTGTGTGTCTGTGCATCTCAGGTTGAGTGTGCATGATTCCGGCCATGAGCCTTGAAGGGCTAGGGAAAGACCACACACACAGCACAATCATTCAGGACCCTGGGACTGAACTTATTGAGCAGAGCCTCCTTTCTGGCAAGGTGGTCTGTTACCCCCACCCCCCAGAAGCCAGTTCAGAAGAAGAAACAGCCTGGTAGAGAATATAATGAGTGGGCATGTGGAGTCCCATCAGTTTTCTCTGCCTGGGCCCCTCAGCTAAATGGGAGGCTGAGCTGCGACTGAGCCAGGGACCACTCTATTGTCCTGAGACGGGCCAGTTCTGATATGTTTCAGGCAGTCCTACATGCTGGCAACCAAGGGAAGCTGAAATAACACACAGTCCCTATGTCTGACCGTGACCCAGAAGCCTCTTCTTGAATGCATGGTCACTATGGTGTTGAAATTGAGGTTCCTGCCAGCCATATCTGAAGGAGAGGAAAAAAGTACTGACCCCTCCCCAGGCATTTGCTCTGAGGTCAGGCACCTCTGCAATGAAGGGGTTTTGCGCACCCATTTGTCCCGGTGGAGGAAAGGGGGTGCCCATGTGCAGAGACAGAAAGCAGCTATGCATCCTGGGCACAGTCAGCCAGAAGCAGGGGCAGAGACCTGAACCAAAAGCCAGCAGGACAATGTCCTTCCCTGAGGAGGACAGTAGGGAGAGAAACCCTCAGACTGACTAGAAGGGCCAGTGCACAGAGCTCCCTGACAGTCCTGTGGTGGCCACTTCATGCACGTCTGGCCGAGGACTGTGCTGGGTTTAACACTAAAAATCTAGTGTCCCAGGAATTGCCACAGCCCTAGACACCAAGGACAGTAGGCCACCCAAACCCCACCCAGATGGCAAACTGGTGTCTCTGGAGGGGCAGCTGCCTCTTGCCCAGACAGCAGCAATAAGCCCCTGAGTGCACCGTGTGGAAGTCGGAGACTGGGGCGGGGGAAGCAGGGTGCGCCTGGGCACTCGGCTCACCAGCCTCCAACTGGCCAAGGCTGCATCTTCCCACTTCCAGCCTGTGTCTCCCTTCCCTGGCACCACGATCTCAGGGTGGAGCTTTCAGAGGAGATTCATGCTATTAACAGCTTTTGGTCACCCCACATGTGGTCTCCAGACTTGCCTCCTCGAGGCCCTGAGGCAAACTGACAGAGCCAGGGGCTGAGTGTGTGTCCTGGTGCTACCCACAGTCAGCATGTCTGGACCACTGGGGGCCGACTGAGGACAGGGAACAGCAGAGGCCCCCCCAGTGGAGATCGTCTTCGCAATGCCACAGGGCGGGGTGTGGCGAGGCAGCGCCAGTCCTCCTGGTGTGAGGCAGCCATGCTGGGGCAACCAGGAGCATGTCTTGCAGACACTCTGCCCCTGGGATGGAGGTCCTGTTCCTGGATGCAGATGCCCCACCTCTCCTGCTGAGGCTGCCCTCAACACTGCCTAAGTGGCCATTTTGGATTTCCAGGGTCCTTTACCTAGGCTGCTGGTGGGCCCAAAATGAGGGCAATCTGCTGCACACAGGAACACGGGAATTAGGGTGCAGGGGCAGGGGGGGCGGGCAGGGTTGACAAAGCGCCAGGAGAGCCTCCCCCACCCTTGGCCGAGATGGCAGCATGGGGAGGTTCTTAGAGCGAGCACTCACAAGGCTGGCAGGATAATTAGTAAGAGGAAAAGCCCTCCTACACCCTTCTGGTACCAGATTAGGGGTGGGACCGGGGAAGGCAAGCACATGTGCCGTAGCAGTCAGAATGACAGCAGGGGCGTGCTGGGCCAGAGAGGCCTGTTTCTGCCACTCCTCGGCCTAATTATTGGATTGGAAGGAGAAGGGGGAGAACAAGAAATTGAAAACTTAATGAAAGAGAACTCCAATATGGCCATGGAAACAGACTTCCCGGAGATCCAGGAAGCCCAGAGAATCCCAAAGAAGTTGGACCTAAGGAAGCACACACCAAGGCACATCATAATTAAGTTACCCAAGATTAAAGATAAGGAGAGAATTTTAAAAGCAACAAAAGGAGACAGTTTCCTACAAAGTAGTTCCTATAAAACTATCAGCTGATTTCTCAAAAGAAACCTTGCAGGCAAGGAGGGGCTGGAAAGGAGTTTTTAAAGTCCTGAAAGACAAGGACCTACATTCAAGATTACTCTATCCAGCAAAGCTCTCATTTAGAATGGAAGGGCAGATAAAGTGCTTCCCAGACAAGGTGAAGTTAAAAGAGTTCATCATCATCACCAACCCCTTATTTTATGAAATGTTAAGGGGACTTATGTAATGAAAAGATGATTTTTAAAAAACTATGAACAGTAAAGCAGAGGGGAGGGGAGGGGAAAGAATGGGGGAAAAGGTACAGGGAATAAGCAGCATAAATAGTAGGTACAAAATAGGCAGAGAGAGGTTAAGAATAATAGTATAGGACATGGAGGAGCCAAAGAACTTATATGTATGACCCATGGACATGAACTAAGGGATGGGAGGGAATGCTGGGGGGTGGGGCGGTGCAGGCTGGAGGGGAATAAAGGAGAGAAGAAAAATGGGACAACTGTAATAGCATAATCAATAAAATATTTTTTTAAAAAGTACAAATAGGTAGTTACAGACTAGTCACAGCAATGTAAAGTACAACATAGGCTATGGAGTGGCCAAAGAACTTACAGGCATGACCCATGAACATGAACAATGGTGGGGGGGTTGCCTGAGGGAGTGGGGGTTGCCGGGGGGAGGGGCAAAGGGGAAAAGATTGGGACAACTACAATAGAATAATCAATAAAATATTTTAAAAAGTAAAATAAATAAATATTCATTTATACTATAGAACTCACAGAAACAGTACCAAGTCTGAAAGTACACAAGAGGCATCTTTATGCCATGTTACACCCAGTAAGTTTCTATATATGTATATATAAGTGAAAAGGAATTTTCTGCCATGAACAAGAAACCTGCATGACCTGTCTTGTTCACGGCACCCACATGGACACATGGGTTGGACATGCCGGCAGCCTGTGCCTTCACACAGTAACTGCTCATGCGCACATTCGGGGGTGCTGCAAATGACACTGAGGTCGGCATTCCTCTGTTCTGCTTCCAGAAGAGGAGGGACAGGGCTGGTGCCCTGATGCGATCAGACGCTGGGCAGGAACCGCCGCCAGGGGAAGAGTGCGGAGGTCCATTTGACGCCCCATGGCTATGACTACCGCGTGGGAGCTGGGGCAGGGGCCAGGCTGGAACCCCGAGAGGCCATTGGGGCAGGGAGACAAGCTCAGGGGGGAGGGCCACGGGTTTGACTTCCTAGTGTGACTGGGGAAGAAGTGCCGTTGCCCAGAGAGAGGGCAGAGCAAGCAAGGTCCTTTGGTGATGCGCCGCCGCTCCCTGCACTGCACCCCGCTTGCTGCAAACGCAGGGCATGCCACCCCTACCCCTCGCCCCTCTCGTTTCCCCGCCACTCGCTATTTTGCGCATGCGTGCTTTCCAAGCCCACCGGCGATAGGCTGCCCCTGGTGCCTGGAGTCCGGCGTCCCTCCCGGCTCACCCAATGAGCTCGTCGGACGCTTTTGCATTGACCAATGGAGCGTCGAGTGACCTGGGGGTGAGGGGGGGCCCCCGCCACCCCCGCCTCGGGGAGCCGTTAAGAGAAGGCCGGGTGGGGCCAGAGCGGCGTTCGAGGCCGCGCTTTCAGCACCGTTAGATTCCTGTGAGGTTCTTTGGAAGCCAGAAGGACTTGGGGACTTTGAAAGCTCAAAGGGGGCTGGGGACCCAGACTCCTGGGTCCCGAGGAAAGAGAAGGCTGGGGGTGGGGGATCCCGGGGCCGGGGCGGGGGCCGGGGCTGGGCCCGGAATAACGGGGCCTGCGGGACACGCGACCGACCCCAGCTCCTGGGCCCCGGGGCAGGGCGGGGCCGCAGCGGGCCGGCCTCCGACGCCGCGGGGGCCGGGGGCCGGGGGCCGGGACGCCGGGGCCTCGGACGGGTGGGGGCTCCAGCCCGGGCGCCGAGTCCGCGGGAGGAGGGCCTCCGGGCTGGGCTCCCGGGTCGCGAGGCCGGGGAGGGCCGGTTTGCGGAGCGCGCGGCCTTCAGGGGACGGGTGGCTGGGTCTGAGCAGCCCAGCGATGGAGACCGAGGCCCCGGGAGCGAGCGCGCGTGGCCGCGCCCACGGCCGGCGGGGTGGGCGAGTTCAGGGCTCACGGGCCGCGCGGCCTGTCCGGAAGGCCGCGCTTGCCAGGGCCGAGGTTTGGTCCCCCCACTGCGGGGCTGACAGGCTTCCTCTGCCCCCCTCCATCGCAGAGGCCGTCCGCTCTTGCAGGCCTCTCTGGAAGGAGCCATGGGGTCCGGGCCTGCCCAGGGTTTGCTGTTCCTCCTCGTCCTCGGAGCCTCCTCCTTGATTCGTAGGTGGGGGGCGGGAGGGAGGCGGGCAGCGGGGGCCACAGGAGGGGTTTCTGGTGGAACAAAAGGTGTGATTCGGGCCCCACAGAGAAGGGCAAGGGCTTATCTTTATCTCACTTTCTCCCCAGTGGCACAAAATTTCTATTGTCACAAGGGTGAATTCATGAGCTTAGAGAAGGATCCAAACGCGTTTAACTGGACCACAGAGAAAGTTGAGACTTGTGACAATGGGGCGCTTTGCCACGAGTCCGTGCTGATCGTTAAAGCAGGTAAAACGAGAAGGGGCCTTCGGGCTGGGCGGCGGGCGGGCGGCTGTGCCCCTGGCGGCGCGCCCCCTTCGCGCCGGGCCCAACTCCGGGCCCTCCGGTCCCACAGCAGGGACCAGGACGGCAGTGCTGGCCTCGAAGGGCTGCATCGCGGACGTGACGGAGGCGACCACGTTCGTCCAGCACGCCCCGCCGCCCGGCATCATGGTGATCTCCTCCAGCCGCTACTGCCAGAGCTCCCAGTGCAACGGCAGGGCGAGCTTACCCGAGATATGGACGCAGAATATCCCAGGTACCTGGGGAGGGGGGAGGCGCGTTTACGGAAAGGGACTCTGCAAACCCCTGACGAGATTGTCGGTCCTCCTTCTGGGTGGTCTTTTTTTTCCCCCAGATTATCATCATTCATTTCTTTCTTTATTTTTCAAGACAGGTTACATTCAGTATTACTTTGTGTTGGTTTCAGGTGTACAACATAGTGGTCAGACGATCGTACACTTTACAAAATATTCCCCCCATATTTCGAGAACCCGCCTGGCACCCCTTTCTGTGGTCTTACTTGGCATAGGTCCAAGTGGGCCAGACACAAAAAGACCTCAGACCTTTTGCTTGTCTGTTTTTTCTAAATCGTTACCTTGAAGTCTAAACACTGCTCAAAGCTGAAGACATCAGTGAAGGCTGGGGTATAAATTGGGTCTTGTTATTGAACAGGATGTCAGTGGAGGTCTCTGAACAGAGAGGTAGCATAATCAATATAACTGTTATTGCTTCCCAGTTGCCACATGAACACAGCCCACTTCCCCCATTTGGCCTAGCTTTTCGGCTCATTTCCTTCTCTTCCCCCTCTTGTTTACTGTTTTCTAGCCGAGGCTAGTATTGAAAATACTTGACAATGGAGATGGTACTGGCCAATCAGAATGGACACTGGTTATAAAAACCAGTCCAGCCCTCCCTGTGCCTACGAGCTGAGTATCAACACTGCATTTTCGCACAATTTCCCATATCCAACAAGCTGGCTCACACCTCCAGGCCTTTCTTTGTCCTGGCTGTTTCCTTTGCTATTTCCACCCAACCCCCATTTTCACACAGCTAACCTCTCTTCATTCTCCAGCTGGACCCAGGTATCCACTCTGGGAAAATACTTACCAAATTCTTTTAGGTAGTTAGGTCCTCCTTTAAGCCTTTGCTCTCATACCGAAGACACAGTGCCTACTGAGCTGTATTATAGTTAATTTCTTACATATCTTACATGTCTTCATGTCCTGCTTCAGGACAACAGTCCTAGATGGAACTGTTCTTCTCATCTCTGTACCTCCACACTAAGTGCAGAGTGTAAAAGTTATGTTTTGACAGCAGAGAAAATCGGTTGGAAAAGAGTGGGGAAGTGATATTAGTGGGCCTTGATTAGAGTGGCATCAGCAGGAAAGACTTAGGGAAGAGGAGGAAGCAAGGAGAGACAACTCCAGAGGCAGGACATACTCTTAACTGTCTCTCTTTTTCCCCTTCCAGCTGCCACTTGGTCAGAAACCCTCCACTGCCCAACCTGTGTGGCTTTCGGAACCTGTCCGAATGCGCCGTATCTCCCCTGTCCCAATGATACAAATCGATGCTATCATGGAAGATTTCAGGTCACTGGAGGTAAATAGCACATCTGATGGTTTCAGAGGCTGTAAAACTAGACATCTGAGTGGATCCCAAAGGGTTCTGACACTCAGGGGTCCAGGAATGACGGGGGACTAGATTCTTCTCTGATTTCCTAAAACATCTATGTGTCTCCCATCCTTCCTTGTTCCATAGAAGACATTGACTCAACTTTGGAGATCAAAGGCTGTACGTCTATAACTGGTTGCAGGTTGATGTCTGGAGTCTTCACAATAGGACCCATGATAGTAACAGAAATATGTCCATACCAATCTCTCACTGAACTCCGAAGTGTTGAAAATGGAGCCAGCTGGCTCCCCATTTCAGTTGGGAAGCTAGAGCTGCTGCTGCTGCTGTTGCTGAAATTGCTTATCTGTTGTTCCTGAAGAGATATCTGTCCTGAGTCACAAAAAAGAGTCCTTTTTGGACTGGGAGTCTTCTGACTGCTGGTCATCAATGAGTTGATGAGCAGGTGGAGACTTGAAGAACAGAGGATTCCTGTGAATGTATTTGATGTTTCTAATAAAGTTTCTGTTATACTTTGTGTACGCCCCAAGACTCAAAGTGGATTTTAGTGTTGAAAGGGCCTTTAAAATTCATCTCCTCCAACCCACACTTTTTTTAGAAAGAGAGCAAGATATCTATAAAACTTTAGTGAGTTCCACACATTACATAGCTATGGGCACAGCCAAGACCAGACCTTTGATATCTTGGCCTAACTCGCGTTTTCCATTCACTTAATAGGCTACCTTCCCTTGCCAGCTGAACAAGAGACTAGGGTTGACCTCCAGGGCACTCTCGACCCAGTCTTAAGGCCAAAGTTAACTGTTTGGGATCCTAGAATTTCCTTGGGAGGTACGGCAGAAGGAGGAGAATCAGAACCCAAATTCTACTATTATAGCGGCCCCATTTCCCTATGTCCATCCGTCCCTTGCCCACTTTACATCATTCCTGCCCTTCTCTGCTGCCTACTTAATGCCTTTTCTGGGGACAGAGGAAAGGTAAGAGGAAGCTGAGCCTGAGGCTATTGGGGGGAAGATTTTTTTAGACTCTCATGCTTATTTATGTATTTACTTGTTACTCAAGAATACATGAAATCTATCTTATTGCAAAAGACTTTGACCTCTTTGCCACATCGACTCCTAGATGTGAGGGTGAAGACCATTCTCAGCAATGAGACTGTCGACATTCCAGAAAGTGTCAACATCACTCTGAAGGGACACACAGTTATTGTCAAGGGCCCCCGAGGCAGCCGGCAGAGAGACTTCAATCACATCAATGTAGAACTCAGTCTCCTTGGAAAGAAAAAGAAGGTTTGAGGTGACAAATGGTGCGGAAATGGAAAGGAACTGGCCGCTCTTCCCACTATCTGCAGTCATGGACAGAATGGGTTCCAGGGCGTTCCACTGGGCTTCCCTTACAAGATGAGGTCTATGTGCATTCACTTCCCCATCAACGTCGTTATTCAGGAGAATGGTTCTCTTGCTCAAATCTGATATTTCTTGGAGGAGAAATACACCAGTGTTTTGACGAGGTCAGGCATTGCTTTTTCAGTGTCTCAAGCCCAGAAAGATGAGTTAATTCTTGAAGGGAATGACACTGAACTTGTATCAAATCCAGCTGCTTTGCTTCACCTGGCCAGGCAGTTAAGAACACCAGGAAAAAATTTGGATAGTAACTATGTTTCTGAAAACGGAACAGTTTAGCGGGTTGATGAATAAGATCTAAGCCATTTAGCTGTAGAAACAGCAAGATGCCAGATGATTCCTCAGACTTATTTGTGATATTTTAAAGATTCAATAAAAGCTGTGTATTGATTGGGGTAGAGGGAGGTTTTGATACAGGAGCTGTTTGGAACAAAGCAAAAGGGAGAGAGGGTAAGAGGAAACAGACTTTTTTTCTTTTTAAAAGGCAGCTTTGGCCTGACTGGGTAACTCAGTTGGTTAGAGCATCACTTCAATATGAGAACGTTGTAGGTTCGATCCCCAGTCAGGGCATATAATGAATGCATAAGTAAATAGAATAACACATTGATATTATCTCTCTCTCTCCTCTTTGTCTTTTCCTCTCTTTAAAAATCAATTTTTTAAAAAAGATTTCTTCTTTGAAAAACAGCTTTATTGAGATTTAATTGATGTACAGTAAACTGAACTGGGGGTGGGAGGAGGGGTTTTTAATGCAAACTATTGGCCTCTCCCTCAAAAGACAGGTGAGCTTGGCCATAGTATATTCCTGCCAAGTTCTTTCTAGAAAGTTGTCTAGTTATAACCAGCTCTTTGAGTTAAAATCCCAGCCCAGCTAATACTGAATGCTTGTCCCCAGGCATCCAGTTCCCTATCGTGTCAGTTTGCTGAATCTCTCTAAAGAGGAGAACAAGCACAAACAAATTTTAACTTAATTAGGGGCAGATAAGTTTGGAAAACAGTAAACATCCAGAGCCATGCTGGTAAATGTTATTTGGGACCAAAAAAAAAAAATCTAAAACAAAAAACCAACAGCAAAAACAAGCCAAGTAAGGCCCTGGCCTGTATGGTTCTATTGGTTGGGAGTTATCCTGCAGATTGAAAGGCCACTGGTTTGATTCCCAGTCAGGGCACATACTTAGGTTGTGGGTTCAATCCCTGGTCGGGGCACGTACAAGAGGCAACCAACCCATGTTTCTCTCTCACGTCATTATTTCTCTCCCTCTCTTTCTCTCTCCCTTCCCCTCGCTCAAAAAAATAATAATTACTTAATTAAACTTTTCTTTCAAAAAAGCCAAGTGTTTCCCACAGGACACTGACTTTCTAATGGTCCTGAAGACAGCTGTAGGAGAAATTCCTGAGTGAACAAAGGAAGGATAAAATATTCAAAAATTCAAAGAACATCATGCAGCACCTACAAATTTCTTGGGTCACAAACTCGAGTGTGCAAATTTTTAAACATTTTAATACAAACACATATATAACTTTTAATATATTTTTATTTTTATTATAATGTATCACAATTCCTCATTCTACCTAGTTGTAGGTAGAAACTTAACCCGTTGGAATAAACTCAGTCACATCAGAGTTCACTCAGTCATTTCAGATTGGAGTTCAGTCCATTCAGAGAGAGCTTCCTTTCCTCCCCACTCCCCTTAGCCAGGGCATTGCTGTAGTACTGATCAGAAGGAGCGGACTGTCTGGTTTTTGCTTCTCATGCTCCTGCTCATGTCTAACTTGTGGGTGTTCTTTATTTCGTTTATTTATTTTTAGAGAGATGGGAAGGGAAGGAGAAAGAATCGGAGAGAAACATAGATGTGAGAAAGAAACATCGATCCGTTACCTGTCACATGCCCCCAACTGGGCACCTGGCCCACAATCCACGCATGTGTCCTGCCCAGGAATCAAACCAGCGACCTTTTGTTTCACAGGCCGGCTCTCATCCACACCAGCTGGGGCTCGTGTCTAAGTTCTTATTGATGACTGGTACTTGGCTTCCGTTCCTGCTGGCATCCACTGAGAAACTTCCAACCCTACCTGGGCATCCACGCGGGCCCTTTCAGCTCCACCATCCCTCTCAGCTACATGTGGGCCTCTTCCAACTGCTCGTAAGTCCGACCGGGGCTCTCCAGGAACCTGAAGCTGTCCAGGAATCCCATGGAGATGATGAAATTTCTCCAAGATAATGTCATAAGGACTTGCTTCCTACCAAGATACTAGGAAGGAGAAGGGGCCTAGACCCCTGAATGCACCGCCTGCCTCATGCAGACCACTCTCACCTGTTTTTCTCACATCTGTTGTTTTTTGCATCAATCACACACCATAGACCTTCATTCTTAGACTGAAACTTGAAAAGTCCAGGTCTAACAAACCAAAATTTTGGGCTTTGGAAATTATTGTGTCTCTACCTCAATTTACATAGCCTACTTTGAAACTTCAAGGCTGAATGTTAACATAGTTCTTTTTTTAAGATTTTATTTATTTGTTTTTACAAAGAGGAGAAAAGAGGAAGAAAGAAAGGTAGACAAACATCAAGGTGTGAGAGAAACATCCATCAGTTGGCTCTCACATGCACCCCATCCATGTACCTGGACCCCTGGCCCACAGCCCAGGCATGTGCCCTGGCCTGGAACCAAACTAGCAACCTTTTGGTTCGCAGGCCAGTGCTCAATCACTGAGCCACACCAGCCAGGGCTGAACAGTAAGATATTTCTGATCTCTTTGCATATCCGTGGTAACAGCCCTACTGACTACATGAAAGAGAAGGGGCAAGAGGAATAATGTAAAGAACTGAGGGATGGGGAGACAATAGGAACAGCAAAATATAATCCTGCCATGCCCCCTCATCCATCTGGCTTTTGCTTCTGATACGCATTGCACCCTCTAGGACAGTGTTCGCATTCTTCCCTCCCTGAAATTCCGTCTCCCTCTCCCACTCACCCACCACGAGGGCCCTGCTAGGCATCTCACCGCCAACGTGAGCAAACCTTTCCTGACTTCTCCAGCACCCACCGATCTCCCTCGGTACAGCCCCAGCCCATCTGTCCGCCTTACTCCAATATTTTTCTGTTTCCCACGCAAGGTATTGTCTCTCCCAACAATGTAACAGCACCTCAGGGACCTGCCTTATCTCCAACAGCTTTATAACTTAACAGCACCCGTAAGATAAGACTAGCCACATGATGTTATGGGTGGTCCAGGACTGGTTTTTGAAATGAACCAAACTTGCACTACACACACACACACCTCCAACAAATAATCAACGTCAGCCAGTTGCCTTAAACTTCAAGTGAATATAGAGGGGGAAATGCAGTACGTTCCAGAGGGTAAAGAAGAGTGGCTGATGTTTAAGAGGAACAGACATTGTGAAAAGGTACGAATCTGAAGTATCCTCTGTTCCTTCAGCGGTGATCTGGTGGCCAGGGGACACATCCTGGCTTGGGGCAGGGATGGAAGAAGGGGAGGCCAGATGTCACCTTTTTGGAGCTATTGAAAATGGTATTTTAAATTACAGTTTTCAGTTTTTCATTGCTAGTATATAGAATGAATGCAATTAATTAGTTTTTGTGAGTTGACCTTATATCCTGCCACCTTGCTAAACTCATTTATTAGTTCAAGGAGCTTCTAAGTATACAATCATGCCATCTACAAATATAAAGAGTTTCATTTTTTTCTACCCAATATGTAGGCCTTTTATTTATTTCCTTATTGCACTGGTTAGGACTTCTAGTACAATAAATAAAAGTAGTGAGAGTGAACTGTTGTTTTGTTCCCAATCGTAGGAAGTTTCTTAAAAAGTTAAACATTTACTTGCCATAGGATTCAGACATACCTTTTCCAAGTACTATCCAAAAGAAACAAAAGTATATGTCTGTACCAAGATTTTTATACAAATGTTCATAACAACTTTATTTATAATAACC